TAGTTGCCCTTACGTTTGGGGGTGTGTGGGGGGGGGGGGGTCTAACAGATGGAGTCATAGATTCGACCTTGACCACAGACATGTCCCGTGGCATCTAGCCGGACTCTGTCAATTGGACTCCAGACAGGAGGAGCGCGTATTGCCCGACGCATTAACAAGATCATTTACCTTTTCTTTGACAAGCGCGGCCGCCCGTTTAGCTGAAAAATGCTCCCCCCGGAGCTGGGAGATATCTCTCTGCCTGCATGAATTATATATAATACAGCTGAAGATGAAAGCACTCAACGGGAAGCTGACAAGATGGGTGATGAAGCAGGAGTGGGGGGTGTGGGGGTGCTCTTTGGTTAGGGCTGTATCAGGACATAATTCTAGATAAATAATACTTTTTGATTGCATGAATGACGTCCCGCTTTCCCTGTCTGGAAAGAAAATAGGGGAGTAAGTGTAACAATTTCGTTGACTTCTGAGCACATTAAAACAGCAGCACCTACCAAGCAACGAAAACATCCTCTGAGATCAACTGCTGTGTATTCTTTCAATTTCCAATGACCTCTCATAAAAAAAAAAAATAAATAAATAAATAAAAAAAACAAGTCTCACATTCAGTAAAGTTTGGAGCCATGGCGGTTTCTGGCATGCACATCACATGCAGCAGTATTACGGGGGAGGCGGCAAAGCATTTTAAAATTGGACAAAATTGCTATGTAAAATTGTTTTCTAGTATGCAATGGTATGAGATGTCAATCATTAGTGTTTATGAGGAGAATTTTTCGGCCTCTGAAGAAGAGATGCAGGGTGGGGTGGGGGGGGGCTTTAGCAGGTCGGCTGTTCAAAGGCTAGCTTTTTGCATTGTTGGTCAGTTGGGGATTAAAGTCCTTGGTTTGGTGGCCCAATAGGCCCCTCTAATTAAAAGCATAGAAAGAAGGCAGACACACACAAAAAACAGAAGCAAAGAGAGAGAGAGAAAGAGAGAGCAAATTTACCCAGGAAAGAAAGAAAACCGTTTTCAGTGTAACAACAGTGGCCATCAATTGAAAATGGATTAACTTGACACTCTAGTCCAGTGGTTCTCAAGCTGGGGCGGCGGGGGGCAGCAGTCTGTGAGCTGTTGCTTGGGTGGCAGGGGTGGGGGCAAAATAATTTGTAGTAAACTATGTAGCATCATTTAAAAAGCTCTAAATAAACCTCCCTACCTTCGCTTTGAACGAAGTAAAAGCTGTGGCAAGATTATGACACCTCATCACATAAATCCGACATACACTCACACCCACATCCACTGAGTGGGAACTGATGTCATGCGACCCGCATACAAGCCATGCAACTGTACCACTACGCCATCAGTGATTTCTGAATATGGGAAATAATTATTAAATGTTTAAGGGGTGGCCATCACAAAGCTTTTGTGGAGTGGATTCACTGTATAGGCTTGAAGATATCGATTTTTTTTTCTTTTTTACATTAAACTATACAAACGCAGAGTTTGTGGCGCACTGTTTGCCATCATCAGAATGTGAATGGACAACCGCGTGTCTGCTGCAGCACAGATGCTGGCCGCCAGTAGGTGGGCTGTTTACTGTGCGGATGGCTGGTTGTGTTTTTGTTTGGCCCGCCTCGCCTTCTCCGCGAGCCCAGTGGGTGCTCTGGGGCTCCCGGTGGGGGCCGCTCCCTGCTGATCAGCTCCCAGGTAATGAAGCTTCCTCACTTGGCCTGGCCTAGAGAGTCTGTGTTGGGGTGAGGGGGTGGGAGGGGTTAACAAGCTACCAGCAGGGACAAGGAATGCAAACCCCCAATGAGTAGACTGCAGATTGGAGAGTGGATATACAGAAAGTAGCAAAAATACAGCAGGTGCAAAGTGCATACACAAGTGGGATGTAATGACCAATTACCAGAGGCCGATATATACTCTGATGAACAGACAACTGGCTGTCAGATTATGAGTCTTGCTCACGACTCTGGCTCCAAGTTCTTTTTGATTGATTTCTTTTTAAAGACGTTCTTGACATTTTGCTTCATAGCTTCTCGCCATGTTTTCTCAAAGCATCTTTTCATGCAAGTAGTTTTTGCTATATTTCAGTTTGTATGCTCACATATTGGATTGCCCTGTCGTTTTGAGTTTGACATGCAACTGCTGTCATCGAAGAGGCTTTCCAAAGACGCCAAACAAGTCATTAGCGAAAACGACGCCGCTCGCTTTGCTTCTTTTGCGGCATTATCAATACAGACTGGGCCCCTGATGCGTATCAATAAATCTATCAGTGTCACATCTATTGTGCAGATGGCACCAGAAAACTAATGTGCCATACAGTTGTGTGTGTGTGGGGGGGGGGGGGGTCTAACAGATGGAGTCATAGATTCGACCTTGACCACAGACATGTCCCGTGGCATCTAGCCGGACTCTGTCAATTGGACTCCAGACAGGAGGAGCGCGTATTGCCCGACGCATTAACAAGATCATTTACCTTTTCTTTGACAAGCGCGGCCGCCCGTTTAGCTGAAAAATGCTCCCCCCGGAGCTGGGAGATATCTCTCTGCCTGCATGAATTATATATAATACAGCTGAAGATGAAAGCACTCAACGGGAAGCTGACAAGATGGGTGATGAAGCAGGAGTGGGGGGTGTGGGGGTGCTCTTTGGTTAGGGCTGTATCAGGACATAATTCTAGATAAATAATACTTTTTGATTGCATGAATGACGTCCCGCTTTCCCTGTCTGGAAAGAAAATAGGGGAGTAAGTGTAACAATTTCGTTGACTTCTGAGCACATTAAAACAGCAGCACCTACCAAGCAACGAAAACATCCTCTGAGATCAACTGCTGTGTATTCTTTAAATTTCCAATGACCTCTCATAAAAAAAAAAAAAAAAAAAACAAAAAAAACAAGTCTCACATTAAGTAAAGTTTGGAGCCATGGCGGTTTCTGGCATGCACATCACATGCAGCAGTATTACGGGGGAGGCGGCAAAGCATTTTAAAATTGGACAAAATTGCTATGTAAAATTGTTTTCTAGTATGCAATGGTATGAGATGTCAATCATTAGTGTTTATGAGGAGAATTTTTCGGCCTCTGAAGAAGAGATGCAGGGTGGGGTGGGGGATCTGGGGGAGATGATGGGAATGGTAAATGGGCTGTCACTTATGTAGCGCTGTAAAAAGAAAAGTGCACTTTTTAATGAAGTAAAAAAAAAAAAACCCGCAACAATTCAGAGTAAAGCTGCATCATATATTTTATTATGACTATTGTATTTAAAATCACACTTGAGTTTGTGTAAATTTAGTCACGATGGTCAAAATATTAGAAACGGCTCTTTGTAGGATAGTAGCCACAAAAATGCATTATTATCTTAGTCAAGCATTTTAAAAAAATGAGACTGTCAGGCCATCACTACTCAAAATCTCAGTATTATAAATTGACCGCAATCAATGGTACATCATCATGTTTCTGTCTTGTTCTCTGCTTTCTATTGGCTCCTAAAAGTCTCTCATTCTCCGTCTCGCTCGCTCAGATTCTCTCTCTCTCCTTTTAGTGAGTGCATAAATAGTGTGCATCACCAAGTGTCATCCGCTTAAAACTGGAGTTGAGCAGCCAGAGGGGAGGCCCTTGAACGCATTACGGTAAGTGTAAAAGTTTATTTTGCTGTAATTGAATAGAGTTGGGTACCCGCCCTCTACTCCCCCCGCCGCTTCACCCAAATGGTGGCAGAGCCGAAGAAGAGGAGGGTGGGGGAAGAGGAGGAAGGTGGTAGTCCATGTTGGGAGTTAATTGAGGAGGCGTTTTTTTTTTTGTTTTTTTTTTTGCTGAGGAAACTTTGCAATGTTGACGCCCCTCCAGAGAAAAGGGCATTCAAGTGTTTAATGGAGCACAAGTTAAGATAAAACCACTTGGATGCATGTACCAGGATGTCGACCATGTTTACTCATGCTACTAAGACTTAATTATAGCGATAAAATCAGTTAGATTGTAGGCCTTGACTAGGGTGGAAAGGAAAGTATAGTAAATTAATCCTATGAAAAAAACACAGAGAAGATTTTAATGATATAATCAATTCTGGATTTTTATTTTAAAAATAATTCAGATAAGCTATACAAATATAATAAAGCCACATTTATAAAATAACAATGAGAACAGAAACAAGAGAAGGATATTTAAAGAAGAAAAAGGCAAAATTAGTTATGCTATAATTAGATATGATAGTAGGCTATTTTTCTAATACATTACATTTAGATCAAGGATCCTTGAGGATTTGCCAAGAGATTGATAACAATTAAAGTAAAAAAAAAAAAAACGTGTGTCGTTGTTATTGTGAATATTGGGGTGGGTTCTTTTTGGGGGGGTGGCTGTGTGTGTTCATGTGTGTCTGGCAGTCAGCTGGTGTGATCGACACAATGCCAATCTTTGTCTGAGGGTACTGATGCAAAAATGAGGGAAGCGGACTATATAGAATATATATCTACAGTATATGCAGTATAGAAAAAGTTGACACACCCCTGTTTGAATGCCAAGTTTCTTATGAGAGATAAATTAGTTCAAAAGTTTAATGAGACTTATAACCTGTACAACTCATTCAAAAAGAAAATAAAAACAGAGCGGGGCTGCAAAATTAGATGTTCTTGTGCAGGTGCTTACAGACAAATTCAAGTTAAAAGGGAGTCACCACGCGACATCCACAATCATTTCAAGTTGCTCTAACTAACCGCAAATAAAGTTCAGCTGTTCTCGTAGACTTAGAGTGTATTGTGCATACAATGAGCCCCCACCCCCTGCACAGCGTCCCTCTAATCAGGCCAACACGTGCCACTCTGATTAACTCGTCCAAAAAGAAATCATCTCTTCTCTAGCAGGCCAATAACAATTAAAGACCGGTACTTATGATGATTATTATTGAACGGATGTGGAGCAACCGGTGGTTTAAAGGGTGGAGGGAGGAGCAGGGGGTGCAGTCTGGGTGGGGGGGCCCACAAAAAGTGACAGATTGCAGCGTCCGTTATTGGCTCTATTAAAAAAAAAAAAAAAA